GATTTTGGCGTGCCTTGAAATTGTTTGTTTATTTGCAATTGGGCAGAAGCCTCCCCCGGGAAAACTGATACGAGGGATAAAGGACGTGCACTTTACACCTGTGCGTGGTACGGTACGTTCTAGAAGGCCTCTGCGCTCATGCAGCCGTAGTGTAGTACATTGTGTGTGTTTGAAGAGTTTTTGCATTGTGTTGTGTGCGCGACCAGTTGTTGGTGGAGATTTGTGCCCCCTGACGCACGGCTGGCTGTGCTCGGTGTAGTTTGCTGTACGGTGGCAACTAACTGCGTTGTGATCGCTTGCAGCAGACATAAATGGTCTCACTTGGCAATCAAACGCTGAATCCCTTTTGGTTTGAGCGTTGCCGAAACAGTAATGCAGCGAGGAGGTGGGAGGTGCGCCCCCCGGGGTAATGTATTGCGGTGTTTGTGTGTTGCAGTCCCATCCCTTCGCAAAGATGTTGTAGCGGTGTGTCTGGCGGTGTGTTGAGTGACGGTAGTCACCCCGCCGCCGTTAGTAATTTGTCGTTTCCTCTTTGAGTTTTGTGTTTTTGTTCGGAGCGTTTGTGTTTTGTATGTCGCCGAAGCCGCTTCCAACAGTAGTAGTGGCGTTGCAGGCGGAAGGGGGCACACGGAAGAAGAGTAGGCAGTCACGAAGGGTTGCTAGCACTGGTGTTAGTCGCAGGCCGCCCGTGTGTGTCGTCGTCTTCATGCCTGCGTGCGTTGTGTAGCTGCAGCAGCTGACAGCACCGAGTCTGTGTCTTTGTGGTACCATGTGTTGTGAGGAGGATAATGTGTTTGCCTCGAACGTATTGATTGGGCAGACCAGTGTTGCAGGCTCCCAGAGTAGGTGTGCAGCGCAAGTGTGTGGAGTACTGCTGATGGTGATGCACCTGTAACAAGAAGAAAAATCAAAGTGGCTTGAAGTTCGGAGTCCACAAAAAAAAATCCGTGGGTTCTTCCCACCACCCTCTTGAAAAAGAAAATGCCATAATTCGACAAGGAATTGCCTTATGTTCGTGTCTCGAGTTGATCGACACCAACGATTTCGCAATCAAGGCAGATCGAGCTGTCTGATGACTGACTGCTCTCTGCTCTGGGATGCACGAGTGTGTAAGAAGTTGGATTTACTTTTTGTACTTAGAGATATAAACCGTAGGTGGTACATATCCTCTCTTTTCCCTGTCACGCAATCGGTGTGTAAGTGCCCGTTGCGTGTACCGTCTAGGTGTTCGGATGTCCGAGAGAACATCAAGATAACATCAAGAAGTTTGAACTTCATGCGTTGACGGGTGATTTCCAAAAATCGTTCACCATCACATGACGCACGCTTTCTTCTCTTTCTCACCTTCTGTGCATAATATTTATTTGCGTTTTATCTTCTGTCGTCAAGAAAGAACTTGTACCGTATACTTTCAAACACGAAAGTCGCACCTAAAAACACACATGTGCACACCCGCAGTCCCCCCACAACATTTGCTGTTGACGATCTATCTATCCATGCGCTCGGCCCCCATCACTTCGGTCATGAGCTATTCCCCGTAAGATGATTTGTTTTTCGGGTAAGAAGCGTACGTCATCTATAATGTACAGGGGCTTTCAGTTTCTGTTCCCGCTTTTTCTGAAACCACTCAATAAAAATGAGGCAACCATCTTGTGCAATCCACTCAAGACGCTTTTCTCAATAGTACCGTACGTCCAAGGCTAACACCACTACCACCACCGCTGCTAGCTGCAGCACATGTAGGTAAGTAAACAGGACCAGCCATCCATTGCTGGCCAAAACAACTCATGATACTGAAATTTCGGGCTCACTCAGCGGTAGGAGGAAGAGGAAGATCGACTGGACTAGAACGACAAACACTAGGTCGCATCACAAAGTCTGTCTCTAAACGCCGTAGGTACACTTTGATACAAAAACACACCCTCCACGACCTCAAGAAAACAAATATCCCGGACAGATGTAGGAAGGGCCTTGGGCTCTTGTCATTGCTCAACTAAATAGGGCTGGTGGATCGCCCTCTTCTGTTCCGGTACAGGAGGGGTGGACGCGTGGTGGCCCCAAACACTGAGCCCCCTTCCCTGCAGCTTTCACGCCGTCGCCATCTGCTATTCCTGGCATGCTGTACACCACACACCGGTGTGTCAGACACACGCATCGCCATTCGCCTTTGGTCGGACGACGACATTCATGTCGCTTCTCCTGCTGTCGCCGCCGCTGCTGTTGTTGATAGTTCGTGCTCCGCCGAACCTCCGTCACCCGCTGCACCACACCCGACGTCCCGGCAATGAACGCCGCCGCTTTTGTTCCCGATGGGGGTAGTACCTCCACGCTGCCGCCTTTCGACGATGTGGTCTTGCTTGGGCCACCACGGGCAATGTCATCACCGGGATCACCGGGGGGCTTCGCGTAGGCGGCGTCGGTACCGTGGGTGGTTGTCGAGCGGGGCAGGGGGGCGAGGATTCTCGCGCCCTTCGGGCCCCTGCCGTACTCGAGGGACAGCTCGTGGGGAACAATACGTAGGGCGGAAGGGCCCATGGTAGAGACCTTGAGCGTGACCTGTGGCGACGGGTTGAGAGTGAACGCCCAAGGGCATGCTCGCGGGGGGGGGGGGGGGGGGGGGGGGTTTCCCCCAAGGGGCTAAAAATTTTGGGGGGCTTAAAAAAATTTTGGCCCCGGGCGCCCGGGCCCAAGGGGTTTTTTTTTCCCCCCCAAAAATAAGAAAAAATTCCGGTCACCCGGGATTTCGGG